CCAGACACCTGTTTGATGACTATGTTTCCAGAGGGTTGTCATGCAGAAGGGAGGAATATGAATTCAAATCCACTCTGTGCCACCAAGAAAAGACAACCCCAATTTTAGAATAAAATAAAAATAACAACAACAAAAAAAAAAACGCAAAACACAGAGGACCTGTAAATTAATATCATAACTCACATAGTTTTCCATTTATCCAACCTTTCCCCATCTCCTCGCTTCCAACTGGGAGTCACACACAAATGATTCACTTAGCTACCCACTTGGCTATGGACGTGTGTTGATAAGAGAGTTATAACCAACTCAATGACAAGGGACAGAGACATCAGTCAAAATCCATCAAATCAAATCACACATCTTCAATAGCATGACCCTCTGTAGTTACCTAACAACACACTTAGATTTCCTCTGTGTTGTTACACACACACACACACACTACATACACGATGTTAAAATATCCAAAGCCAAAATGATCAGTTGGTTTGTCAAAGTAGAAAATTGCTGTTTTAACTTTCTATTTGGGTAGTTTCTGGATAAAGGAAATTGTATGATTGCTGAACTAATTTTCAGGTTGGTTAAGCATGTCAAGTTGTCCTGAAACATGGGAAAATGAGACACTTGAAGATGCAGAAAGAGCTGGGCATGGTGGCTCATGCCTATAATTCCAGTACTTTGGGAGATGTGGCAGGAGGATCTCTTGAGGCCAGGGGTTCAAGACCAGCCTGGGCAATATAGCAAGACCCTGTGTCTATAAAAAAAAAAATTAGCTTAGTGTACTGGCTTGTACCTGTAGTCCCAGCTACTGGGGAGGCTGAGCTGGAAGGATCACTTGAGCCCAGGAATTTGAGTTTATAGTGAGCTATGATCTGGCCACCATACTCTAGCCTGGGAGACAGAGCAAGACCTTGTCTCCTAAAAAAAAATGCAGGGAGATATAACAGATACCAGTAACTTTTTCTACTATTGCACTGAAGGCACCACATACACTATCATATTGTGAGTGACTGAGTATCAGCTTTTATGAATGCAACAAAAAGACATTCACATAGATGTATCTAGTCTTCAAGGATAAGGATTTCAACAATGAATAGGGGTGAGGTGATAGAATGAGAAGAAACCACCATTTTGCACTGTTTAGATTTTTAGATTTAAAAATGATCCATGCCACATGACATATTAAGTTTTGGGGGGCAGAGGGAAGGGGAGGTTAATATTTCATCTCTTGTAATCATCATGCAGTGCTCAATGGATAAATATCTGGACTTGTCCTATAATCCTAGCACTCTGGGAGGCTGAGGCGGGAGGATGGCTCAAGCTCAGGAGTTTGAAACCAGCCTGAGCAAGAGTGAGAACCCGTCTCTACTAAAAATAGACATAAATTAGCTGGACAACTAAAAATATATATAGAAATAATTAGCTGGGCATGGTGGCACATGCCAGTAGTCCCAGCAACTCCGGAGGCTGAGGCAGGAGGATTACTTGAGCCCAGGAGTTTGAGGTTGCTGTGAGCTAGGCTGATGCCACGGCACTCTAGCTGGGCAACAGAGCATGACTCTGTCTCAAAAAAAAAAAAATCTAGACTTGTGTGTTAGATCCAGTATACTCTAATCAATTTACTTGTATTGTTTCCTCTAACTCTATAAAGATAAAATAACTGAAAAAGAGTGGGTATAATAAGTGGAAACATAGTCAAAGATGATTGGAGTTGCAAAAGGTTTTAGGATACTCTCTCCAACCCTCTCATTTTATCAATGAGGAAATAATGTCAACTTTGAAGGGTTACAGTAGATGTATGGGTAGATGAATTTTCTTTCACATGTTTTCATACTGAATTGTGAACTCCATGAAAGCAAGGTCCAGATCATATCCCTAACGTTATATATGATATTATGATAGGGAGAGAGTAAACGTAAATGAATAAATAAAATTGAGGGACAGTAACTTTCCAAGGTTTGAAAGAAGTAGTAAAAGAACCCAAGTACCTTGAGTCCTAGCATATCCTAAATGTTCTTATTCCCAGAAGGTTCAGATTGGAACACAGGAAAGCGGCTATATGCCAACATTAGCTCTTTAAATTCTATAAGCATGTGCTTTATATTCTAGCCAACTAATTAGTTGTAATATTTGTTCAAATAATAGTTGAATTTTAAAGTAAATTATTAAGGAAATCATCCGTATAAAAATGTTTTCTAATAAACATAGTCATATTTTAAAGTCCATACTGCAAACCACTACTTTTTTTTTTTCCTTGTGAAGGTGTTATTTATTGTAAACAATTTTTGGTATGAAAAATATGTCTTATCATGACCCATCATCACCCAAAATCTAGAATGTATAGGTCAAGCCATTATTTCAACACGAAATTTGTGATCACAGTTAGCTTGTACAGATGGAATCTAGCCTTTTCTGTGATTACAGCTTTGTAAAGGTAGCACACTCTACTGAGTTTCCAGGAATTATTACTATATAGTAAGAGAATGTCCTTTGGCTCTATTATCTAAATGTGTAAGGACCTCTTTGTTTGAATAATCCAGAATATGATTTATAGGTAAAACTGATTTATGGGTGACCATGACTTTAACAAGTACCTAAAAATTGTCACTTTATACCTTATAATGACCTCTCAGTTCTAATTATAGAAATTCTAGTTATCTTTCCGAAAAAATATTAGCAGCACCAAATTTCTTCATTGATTGTCAATAAAACAATAAATTATGCTCTATATTTACAAATAAGACATGGAATAAAATTTGGAAATTTGACTCTGTTCCTTCTCTTCTAAAGAAAAATCCCAAGGGAAATAAATAACATAAAAACTCATAATTCTATTAATCTAAAAAAATATAATACTTATTCAACTATAATGTTTCTTTTTAACTACAGTTTGTTCCTTGAAATGTTAAGAGTCAGGGATAAATATTAATATATTTGAAAACTTTTCCTTTATTTCAAACAAAGAATATCAGAATAGAATATTATTTTGGCTTTCTCTAAATCAACATATTGAGAATGGATAAAAACAGTGTTTTGATCATCCAGTTTGTATCCTATTGATCACAATCTAAGAAAAAAGTTCATAATTCGTAATTCCTTAGAAATTAGGAAATAAGATAACAGAGAGGAAGAGAAATAGAAAGAATAAGAGACTTTTCAGTGTCTAGACCTGATGCATTCATTCTGAAAAACTGATGAACAATTTAAATTTTCTAGCAGCACAGTGTTCCAGAGATCAACTGCAAGAGGATAGAAGCAGAAGTGTTTGTATTTGCTTGCTGTAAGCTCTGCATATTATAGAAGAATATGGGCTGTGAGATTTATATGCATATATATAAATCAGTTAAAAAGTCAATTTTACAATCCAGGTATTCCCTCTTGAGGAAGATAGTAAATCCATATTCAAATATAGTTAGCATCCAGGGTCATTCAATGATGACTTATTCACATTTCAGAAGAAAACATTCATCTTTTGCTGGAGTACACTTTTAAAGGATATGAGCACACAAACACAAACTAGCTTGTATATCAATTTCTATGTTCTTTCCTGGAGGAAACATATGGAAGGAAGTGGATTTTCTAATAATGCCGAGTCATTAAATAAGAGACAGAACAATATGTTTTTAAAATTTCATTCATTAACAACATATAATAATTGCAAAATTCTACTTGACTTTGACTTGACAATGTCTCAATTTGAGTGGTGCATCTGTAAAAAATGTTGTTGCAGATAAAAATGTCTTTTTTAGGGTTATGTTAATTTCAGGTTATTTTTCCTTTAGCTCATTTTTTCTTCCTAAGTTCAGTTATTTTAATTTTATATTTGTTTTACTAGTTCTTATCCAATATGGTGCCTAAAAATATAAGAGGATAACAATCTTAGAGACATTTCACTAGCTTCAGAAGATAAATTCATTTGACTGAGACAAATCCAATCAATGTCAGAAAATATGGCTTCATCATAGATGTTTGCAAAATATGACAAGGAATTGCACATGGAATGAAGCAGTCACTACTGATACTAAGTTGGATTCATTGCATATATTGCATTACTATTTTCTCATAATAAGCCAAGAAAGCAAGCATTTACAGTAACACTATTTGAACATAGAAACAAGTTCGGTGAGGTTGAAAACTTTACTAAGAGCCCATACAGTTATGAACAGGGAAAGCTAGAATTAAAACCCCGAGTATGTCTCTAAGACCCATACAATTTCCCTGCTGTCTATCAGAGTTTAGAAACCATTTAGGCCTATTGCCTCCCTTGAAAAGTAAAATGAGGCCCAGGAATAGTTAAATGCTTTCCCAGAGTGTGTGCCGCTGGGTGATGACAAGGTCAAGCCAGACCAACCCTTGTTTGCTCCACTCTGCTAGGTGGCTTTGGCTTATTTCCAACCCTGAGACACACTTCAAATAATGACATGTCTCTAGAAAACTGATTTCTGCTATTAGACGACTTCTCTTCAGCGAGACTTAGCCTAATTTAAGTTCCTTTTAAAGTCATAGCAACTTTCCAGATCAGGAAAATATTAATGACTGTCTAACCCTGCTACATAAATTTAACATAATTGAGCTTCAAGAATGGCTTTCAATGACTATATTTATAAGGGAGGAACAGAGATAATGATGACATATTAAATTCTAATTAATATGTTAGGAAACAGAGCCCGTCTTTATCCCACCTCTTTCAATTGTTCTGTTTAGCACATTACCAGAGCTATGTCTTATACTTGTGAGTACAGATAACAGGGACATCTTTGTTTCCTGATGGAATACCCTTTAGCCATTATAACATTTAAAAAATAAAGTATACTAGAAGTGAACAAATAACTTATTTAATTTATTTAAGTCTGATGGAAGAAGATGTGGGATCAACACCACTCAGCTGTTGCAGAACATTTCTTACATGGAAGCCCCCACTCTGCACTCAAGATGGCGGCCAGGTGGATGGAAGCTAGACACCAACAATAGGTAATGAAGTAAGGAACATTTAGCAGACTTACTCTTGAATTGACCACTTCCAGGGAGACGTTCTGAGGTGGGGAACTTGGCACTACAAGGAATCAAACAAAGTGTGACAGTTACTGCCAAAGCCTCAAAAGAGAATCTCCAACCCGTTTTTGAAAAGACAAAATGTGTCTTTTTCACAGTTCATAATAAAAACTAGGTAGGTTAACCCAGGTGGCACCTCGAAGTTTTATGGCAGAGATGAAAAATAACTGTATTTGTTTATTTTTTCTCTGTTGGTGGGCCAGTAAGTTGTCCATCTAGGGAGCCCCCAACACTGTTAGCCAAGAGTGCACCTGCTGTGACACCAAACCCCATCATTTAATTTAAGGCTTTCTTTGGATAATCTCTGAGAGAAACCAATAAAAAACACACAAGAGATTTCATGGAGTGGTTTTAAAGGCTTAAGATATTGTGCATTTCAAGATCTGCATGGTTTTATGATGAGATATGTCATTCTAATGGTCACCCAGGTTGCTTAATACAATCCCTAATCCCCCTAATACAACCTTTATTATCTCTTAAAAAGTGAAAAGAAGAAATACTTCCTGTTTTTTCTTTTTTAAGCTGTGTATAATTAAACCTGTGTGTCATAGATGCAAGCAGGTTACTAGATAGCCTTCCTCGAGTCAATTCTATTAACAAAGAAGCAGTTTATTTTTCTTTGTAGATTTTCTAGGTACAACATTTCATTTCTCTTGCCTGCATTTTTATTTCCCACTTCTTTATAGAAGAAGGAAGAGCATATACAGTTCTCCTTTAATACTTGTAGTGAATATTTACTATACAAAAAAGTGAGTATTCTACCATGTGAGTCATTCAATGACAACCATTTATTGAATGGCTGTTATGCGTCAGATGTCTAGAATGAATCATACAAAAAATAAAGCTTTCTGACCTACAATAGGAATAGAAGCAGCATTCAATAAATTCTTAACACATATTAATCTATAAAATGACTAATCCCTATCCTTGTTCCTGAAAAATGATGAATTTCATAGAAAAGAGATGTTCTCAGGCATTTTCAAGAATCTAAGGGATATTTTGGGTCTTGTTTTCCCTTCTTTTATTTGAATTTGAACAAGATCTATATTTTCTTATAGGGTACTTATATTTTACCCTAAATTTATGTATGCTCTACTCTGATTTTATCTTCTGAAAAGTCATCACCACAAAATCATGATATATTTCTGATTAATTTCTTTTTATCCTCTAAACGGACATTCAATCAATATTTACTGAATCAATGATTGAATGAGCAGATGAATTATGTAATAGCTTACGTAATAGCTCCTGGATCTTTCTGGACATGATGGGAAATACATTTATTTATTTTGTTTTGATTTGGAACTTACTACCTGATAAAAGTTACAGACAATGTAGCTTGTTTTTCATGAATTAAATCAACAAGTATTCTTTCAAAAAATATTCTGTTATATAGAAAATATTATTATGTTTGCTTTCTTAAGGTCATACTTTTGTTATTAAATACAGAATGTAACTACCTCATAGAGACAAGGATTTGTGTTTATTTTGATGCTATATCACCAGTATCCAGAAGAGTGTAAGGCACATGGTACACACTCAGTAAATAGCTGGTGAGTAAATAAATTAATTAATAGAAAGTTTATGAGGTATAATAAAAACTCTTTCATAGTCAGGATTTGGTCACAAGTTTGGTTTTGTCTTGCAATTTTATTTTTAAGTTAAATATAAATTGTAAGTGCATTATTTATTCATTGAAATTTAATTTATTTAATTATAAATATTATACTGATTAAGCTATTAATTGCAATGTTATTATTTTAACTGAAGTGTACATTGAGGTATAACATGCTCTACATCATATAATTTCATAAACTTCTAAAAATATTATCTTTCAAAAGCCAATTTTAGAAATGATGATTTAATATTAAGTGATAAGGAATCACTTCTTAAACTTGGAAAAATATTTCTAGTTTATATTGAGCATGACATTGTAATATTTATATAACATGTTATATGTTTATAATAATATTATGCCCACTTCTTGGCTAATTAAATAGTATCAAAACACAATTTCAGTAACCCTAACTAAAGTTATAAGTGATAGATTTTGGAAGAAGGACAAAATAACTTAAGATTTATCATGTTTTGTTCCACATACTATGCTAGCTGATATGCAACCTTCAAATGTCACTTTCATTTAAGTTTATAAATGGTATTTAACTTCTCGTTTCCAGAAAGCCAAGAATATACTAAGAGGAAGGTTAAACATGTGTTCTTCTTTTTATAACTACCACAATTTGAGAAGCATTAGGATTATTTTCTGTGTTAAGAATTAAAAGCCAATAATGATAAAATCCTAAAGGTTCTTATAACAACTGTGTTGATGTACTTTTTTACAATACAAATTTCTCTTACTTTCCACTGATACCACACTGGCTATTCTTGCCATGTCAAAGAGAAAAGTAAAGAATTTTTTCTAAATATTTTAAGTTATTGATCTCTCCTCTTTCCTCCTCACTATCAATTTCCAAATTATTTAGAGATAAATAGATACAATGATAGGATTAGATGCCTGGTGAAAGTGAGGGGAATCCATATCTATCTAGGCTTTTGGCTTCCCAAGTGTCTTTTGCTTCATGAAGCAAAGGGCAAAGGGCACTTTTCTCTTCCAGTGTCACATAGGTCCATTAAAGCCAATCAAAGGTGGGTGGGGAAATCTCCTTAAATACAGTGGAGGATGCTGGTTTGAAACACAGTGTAATGAGGAACTCTGCAGGGTAGATCAAGTCCTCAGATTTGTGAATGAATCTCTGTAAGTACAGACACTTGAATTCCTCCCCTAAGCAAATGTGTGATGTCATATACACATAATCCATGGATCAAAATAATTCATATTTAATTATAAGCATTTTTCTTTAAGGGTCTTTTGTCACAGAATAAGAGAAACTTATATTTCCACCTTGAATCCTGCCTCTTGACTCACTAGCTTATGTTGCCTTGCTCTGCTGCTTACTAGGTTTTGTGACCCCTTTCTAACTTATTTTTGTCACCTATAAAATAGGAAAAATTGTAGTATTATGAGGATAAAAGGTTAATGCAAAGCACTTAAATCAAGGTCTTATACTACTAAGCACTTCACAAATATTACTGACAACAGTGATAACACTAATAAGCACAAAGTTATGTTGCCTAAGAAATTGGTTCCTTCTGCTTTTGGACATGGGGCAAGTTGGCACGGACACTTAAAATTGTTAATTAATTCATAAAAGCTGTTAATGACATACCCATGCCAATTAGTTCAAGAGAAATTATTTTGGAACAAACTGGCAAAACTAGTTATGATCACATGCTCTACAATCTCAATGGTGTGAAAAAAAATGGATCGTTGAAACCAATGGTATCCTAGGAGAAGAAATTTTAATGAAAGTTGATGTTTCTACCTAGTAAAACAATTAAAGCAGAGGTAAGTTAGAGATAGACAGATCACCTCAATAAAAATCTTTATAATCAAGCATCCTAGCAGAACAGGGGAAAAAATTGGATTAATACATTCAGAAAAAAATGATTTACATATAATTTTTATTTTTTCAATTTTTCTATGCCCCGATATAAATTTTTATGGTAATGACTCCTCTGAGATGATAAAAATTATGAAGTTCTCTACAATACAGATGCATTTAGCCACAGTCATACATCAAATTGACCCCACAAATGGGAAATCCTAAAAATAAGTCTTTACATACAAACATTTGTACAGTTTGATGAATTCAATAAATATTTACTCAGTTAAGGGGAATACAAAAATGCATATAGTATCATCCCTCAAATTTAGGAGCATGTATCCTAATGAGAAAAAGCAATATGCACATGGGCAGAGACAACATTGATTAAACACTTAAAGGTATGTCATGAGTAGTTTTAGGTGCTTGCATGGAACAATCTGTTTAATTTTCACAACATCCACCTTTTTCAACATCCAAAAAGTCAAAGGAGAAGAGGACCCCATGACTGAGGACCAGGAAGCAGGTGACTATTAAATGTGATTAAATACAAATAAATGTGATATATGACCTTCAACATGAACAGCTTCAGTAGAGAGAAGACATTCAATTGAAGTAGACAGAAAGGGACTGGGTAATAAGGAAATTGAAGCCCAAAGTGCAGATTTTTGTTGAAAATTAAAAGAGATGAGTTAGCTGCAAAGATGAATGCAGATAGGGTCAGGGAACCCAACTCGAATGGGCCTATGAAGTCTCTGCTTTTTCCTATCAAATGCATCTGATAGAGGGAATTTGGTGTCCTTTGCACAGTAACATTTATTGGGGTTAGGGTCATGAAATCCTTTTTTTTTTTCAGTGACAGACATTTTCTAAGTCCCAAACATTGCAACATTTCCAGAAGATAATTCTTGGGCTAATGAATAATGATCTATCTTTCTTACTTATGACATTTAAAACCAAAGTGGAAAATAAGGCCACAGTATTGCAGTTCAGAGTGTGAATGAAATCTACATAAATTATGTAAAATATTCACTTTCATTTGTTTTTCTTTTATTTTTATAATTATAAGTTGTGAAGTAATTTATTCTGCCAATAAATATTCTGTTCTGTCTTCAATAACAGAATCAGATGGATGGGCACAAGAATTACATTAAAAATGATACTGAAGGGTATTACATATAAAATCCATTTTTAAGTCAAAATTGCAAATGAGCATTACTTCTGTGTTCTCTTTGCACTGTCCTTAATAACATGCATGTCCTTCCTCATTCCATGGATATTGTGTGAAATATATACACAGATACTTTCCCAGATTAAAGAATGAGAGATCTGTCAAGGAATCACAAGCTGACCATATTTTTAATTCAAAAGATCAATAATTTATAGAATTAAACACACCAACATGGAGATCATTGCTAAAAATGGCTAGCTCATTGTATTTTTTTTTTAATATTCATGGGGTTATCGCTGCACTTCTGCACCTGCCTGAATTTTCACTAGCCCTGCATCCTATATTTTGCTATATTTCATTTTCATTTGTTATCAAATTTCCCAACCTTTCACTATTGTCCATTCCTTAGATCTCTAGTTCCCCCTGCCACTGCTTGGTCAAATTCCTTCTCTTAAGATTTCATCTTCTCTTTTATGGTATCTTAAAAAATATGTCTAATCTTCCATTTGTTAGGGAAAATAGAATTAAAATTATACATTTTCATGTTCGCTTTCAATGCTAAATTATTTGGCCTAAGTCCTTATGAAATATTTTCAAATTAAGAGGTACATATAGAGGGATTGTCTATCATTTAAACTTTTAATCACCTACATCCTTTTAGGAGAAATAAAAGAAGCATACCAATCAAAATTAGTCTACATACATGCACACATATGTTTGTATTAGAGCAATTGTAGAAATAAAGACACACGTACAGAAAATAATTTGAGTCTGTAGGCAAAAGTCACACTTGGAGGATTGCCTATTAGTGCTTACTGACTTAAGAGTATATACTTTGATAGAGAATTTAAATTTTTCTGTAATAGACGGCATGGATGAATTAGCCAAATTTCTAGTTTATGCTAATATATTCCACAAAATAGTATTCATGGAGCCTTGAAAATGGAATTTATGACATACATGCAATAGTATTTTATTATTGTAACCAATACATGAATGGAGTTTCACCGTTTATAACTTACCATCAGAAAGTGTAACCACTGTTATATCATCAGTAGATACTCCTGGACCATAGCGATTATAAGCTAAGAATCGAAGATTATATTCTGTGAATTTTTTCAGGCCTTCCAGTTTATAAGATAGTCCATCAACCTCTATATTCTGGAAACATAAAATACCAAAACTATTATTATTGAAGAGCAGTATAGCAGAAATGGCAACCATTCTGTGCCATCAGTGAATTCACAGAACCCTAGCCATATAATGAGCTCTAAAACCTTACTTGTGACACAGATTCCCGTCCCCCACCAACATCCAAAGTACTTTGTAGACTCCTTGTTAAAGCAGCACATGCTAATTTTACAGCCATTAAGTTCCAATTTGTTTAACACTATGCAATATATTGAATGGTTTTGTTTTTCCGCCCACACCAAAACTCTGACAGGCAGAAGGCAGCTTATAACTCCACAGGAACAGAGACTTGCTCCTGTATCCCAAACGGAATAATCCACCAAGAAACAACAGGTTGCATTCTCCCCTTGCTGAAATACACCCACGGCTCTTGAAACTGTCAGATATTCCAATTATTATTATTTTAGGGCGAGGACAGGGTCTCGCTCTGCTGCCCAGGCTAGTGGTGTCATCATAGAACACTGCATTCTCAAACTCCTGATTTGCCACAAGTTTTATCTCCCCAAATGCTGAGAGGTAGGTTGAAACTGTTTCCAGTGCTTCACAGCTGCGGTGAAGTTCCCTGAGGTCAGATCTCTACATTCATGTCTATCTTGGATGACACTGGTTTTGAATTTATTTAAATGGGTTGGCAAAATGCATTCTTGTAGAGCCAAATATATAGAAAAATGGACAGAATAGAAAGTTGAAAAACAAGAGCTACAAATAATAGAGGGCAGTAACAACAACAAAACATGATAACATGGAAGGAACTTCTGTAATGCTTATCTTATGATGTAACTTGGGACTGGACCAGAGCTGTGAATATGACTGTAGCAATTTTTTTTAAATAAAAATCCTAGTCATGCAGTTTATGCGGAAACATAATGACCATCCTGTGCTTGGCAATTTTCACAACATGTAGTAAGCATTCCTATATCCTGAGGCCGCTTTTCTATTTAACTTTAAACTTGCCTGTGTATCTTTTCCCACATGAAGTTGAGAATCTGGAATTAAATATCTCAGTTGTCACAAAATACATTTGCTGAGTTTCGTGTGTCTCCCTAAAGACTTATTTACTTTCAGTTTACCCGAATAACTAATTTGCTTCATTTCAGGAGTCTGTGCTAACAACAAAGTAAAAGCAAAATGTAAGGAGGGGAAGAATAAACTTCTAAGAGCAAATTATGCTGAAAACAATGACAAATAATAGTTCACAGCCCAATAGTGTAGGGAGGAGAGAAATAATATAAAATATATAAGAATTTTAAAAAATAGTTTGGCTAAGGACACTGAATACATTGAATAGAAGGGCAGTTATCCCTGAAGCTAAGGAATGAAAAGGCAAGTGCCTTCTGGGACCAGGCAGGTTAATACAAATGTGGTTACCCACACCTGCCCAGGCCACTGCATACTTAAACCCAAAATTGGCATCTTTTCTATTGATTTCACCTAATTGCCCGTTTGCCTGTCTCACCACCAGAATTCAATTAAATTGTTTAAAGTTTCCAATAGCAAGTGCTTTAAAACTAATCAGCTATTCAATGAATGTGTGAAACACTGGACTGTATCAAGAGCTTGCAGGTCTCCTATTTTTCCAGCCCTAAAGCCATCCAACAGATGGAAGCGTTGTGGTCCATTCCCTTACCTACCTGTTCTTTTCCCGTGGACACCTCAGTGCAGAACAATCTGTAACCTTGGACTGGACCATTTGCATAGGCAGGGGGTTCCCAGGTAATGAGAATTGAGGTAGGTGAGGTAGATACAGCTTGCAGATTTTCTACTGGCCCTGGAACTTGCACTGTATATAAAAGAAATTGATTATGACATAAGAATTCCCTTTTTCAAAACAAAATCATATCTTATACAGTTCAAGTTCAGTTCAATTATACTAATATGTACTATTTTTAGAATCATATAGAAGCATAGAAAAATATAAATATAAAATAATAAAATTTTAGAATCACTTAATTTTGAAATTCAGAAGAGCTTATATTAATCAAAAAATATTTGTTTTATTTTATAGTTAAACTGGTCAAAGAGTATAAGTGATTAGGACAATAGCAAAAAAGAGTGGGAATCTGAATCTTGGTCTAGAAAATTTTTCACTACGTCCGTGTCTCTTTGCCTGTGTATTGGTAATAACTGCAGAAGGAGACTTTAGGAGACAATATTGAATAATTAGGAGTCTTACCTGTGTTACAGTTTATAGTGATACATTAGAATTGTATCGTAACAAAGTGGACATTTTGCTTTTTGGGGGAAAAAAACAAAGCAAAATAAAAACATGCCCACTGATATTGTTCAAGTTGATTGTCACAGTACTATATTTTAAAGAACAATAATATAAACATAAATAATTTATATGATTACTGATATACTCATAAAAACAATGCAAACATTTCAAGAGTGGATATTTCTGATTCTGAATCTACTATTTCTATAAGGAAGTAAGTCAGAAAAAGCAACAAGAGCATTGAAATCAAGTAACCTGCTTAAAATATCTGTTGAATGTGAGGTACCCAGGATTTTGATATGGTAGACACAGTGAATGCACAGGTAGCCCAGGGATGTGCACAGTGTTAACTGAATGTGTCCCCCTCTTGCTCTTCTAGGGCTATAGGGAAAGACCACTGTTTGCTATGAGCATGGCTCAGTCTGAGAGCAGAGACTCAGATTTTAAAATGATCAAATTCTATAAATATCTTTTAGGTCCATTTGTTATAGTGTTTTATTTAAGTCCAGTGTTTCTTTGTTGATTTTCTACCTTGATGATCTGTTTATTTCTTTTCTTAGGCCTAGTAACATTTTTTTTTTAAATCTGGGAACTTCAGTGTCAGGTGCACATGCATATATATTTAAGATTGTTATATCTTCTTGTTGAATTGATCCTTTTATCATATAATGACCATATTTGAATTTTTTTTACTTTTGTTGATTTAGAGTCTGTTTTACTTTATATAAGAATGCTACTCCTGCTACTTTTTGGTTTCCATTTGTGTGTGCAATAATTTTCCCGCCCCCTTACTTTGAGTCTATGAGAAATTTTATAAGTTAAATGGGTTTCATGGAAACAGTAGATATTTGGGTTGTGTTTTTTTATCCATTCCCTCAATCTATATTTTTTAAGTGGGGCATTTAGGCTATTTACATTCATTGTTAGTATTGATAAGTGAGATATTGTTCCCATATCATGTTGATTGTTACCAGTTTCTTTTTATTCTCTCTTTTGTTACTGTTTTATAAGAGCTGTGGAGTTTTTATAATACTTTTGACTGTTTTTATGCTGGTGAGTATAGACTGTTCTTTTGGATTTCTAGAGTACTTTTTGAACATTTCTTATAGGGAAGGTCTAGTGATGACAAATTGCCTTAGTGTTTGCTTGTCTGGGAAATATTTTGTTTCTCCTCCATTTATGAAACATAGTTTTACAGGATACAAAATTCTTGGCTGATAATTATTCTGTTTAAGAAGACTAAAGATAAGACTCCCATGGCTTGTAAGGTTTAGAATTCTGCTTTTAGTTTGATGAGTTTTCCCTTTTCAGTTACTTGATGATTTTTGTCACATGGCTTGTAGGAGTTGCTTCTTTGGATTGACTTCGGTCAGTCGAATGCAGAATATACATTCTTCTCATCAGCATGTGGAATATTCTCCAAGATAGACCATATGTTAATCCACAAAACAAGTCTTAGCACATTTTTAAAAATAGAAGTCCTACCATTAATCTTCTCAGACTCCAGTTGAATAAAACTAGAAATCAATTCCAAGAGGAATTCTCAAAATTATATAAATTAATGGAAATTAAGCAACCTGCTGCTGAACAATATTTGGGTCAATAGTGATATCATGATGGAAATTAAAAAAAAATTCAATTACATTACAATGGTGACAAAATCTATCAAAATCTCTAAGATACAATAAAAGCAGTATTAGGAGGGCAGTTTTTAAATACCTACATCAAAAAGACAGAAAGATCACAAATAAATAACCTAATATTACACCTCAAGAAACGAGAAAAACAAAAACAAACCAAATCCAAAGTTAGCAAAAAACAAGAAATAACAAAGATCAGAGCAAAATTAGATAAAATTGAAATAATAAAAACAACAAAACAGTACAAAGGATCGATGAAACAAAAAGTTAGTTTTCTAACAAGAGTCATAGACCACTAGCTAGATTTACCAAGAAAACAAGAGAGAGGATTCAAATAAGCTCATTCAGAAATGAAAGAGTAGATATTATACAACTGATACCAAATCTGATACCAAATTATACAACTGATATTATACAAATGATATGATATTATACAACTGATACCAAATCTCAGATAAATATTATCTGAGACTACTATGAACACCTCTATTCATACAAACTAGAAAATCTAGAGAAAATGGATAAATCTGTAGAAACACACAGCCTCCAAAGCTTGAATTAGGAATAAATAAAATTCCTAAATAGACTAATAATGAATAATAAGATTGGGTCAGTAATACAAAATTTTCCAAAAAGAAAACAAAAAAGCCCAGGGCCAGACAGATTCACAGTCAAATTATGCCTGTCCTCCTGAAACTGTTTCATAAGATCAAAACAGAGGAGATTATTTCAAACTCATTTTATGAAGCCAGTATCATCCTGATACCAATGCCAGGAAAGGATACAATAGAAAAAGAGAACTATAGACCAATATCCCTGATGATCAAAGATACAAAAATTCTGAATAAAATACTAGCAAACTAAATCCAAAAACATATCAAAAAGATAATTCACAATGATCCAGTGTGTTTTATCCTGGGGATGCAAGGATGGTTCAACATATGCAAGTTAATAAAACCGATTCACCACATAAACAAAATTAAAAACAAAAAACACATGATAATTTCAATAAATGAAGAAAAATTGTTCAACAAAATCCAATATCCCTTCATGAAAAATAACCCCAATAAACTAGGCATAGAAGGAACATACCTCAAAACAATAAAAGCCATATATAATAAAACCATACCCAGTATCATTTTGAATAAGGAAAAGCTGAAATCATTCCCCCTAAGAACAAGACAATGATGCCCACTTTCACCACATCTATTCAACATAGTACTGGAAGTCCTAGCCAGAGTAATTAAGCAAAAGAAAGAAAGAGCATCCAAATGGAAAATAGGAAGTAAGTCAAATTATTCCTGTTTGCCAAAGAATGATCTTACAATTAGAAAAACCTAAAGACTCCTCCAAAACACTCCTAGAATTGATAAATAAATTCAGTAAATTCTCACATTACAAAATTAACATACACAAATCAGTAGCATTTCTACACACCAGTAATAACCAAGCTGAGAATCAAATCAGGAATTTAATCCCATTTACAATAACAATAAAAATAAAATAAAATGAAACACTTTGTAACAAACTTAATCAAGGAATGAAAGAGCTCTAAAAGGAGACCTACAAAACCTTGATGAAACAAATGTAGATGACACAAACAGATGGAAAAGCATCCCATGTTCATGATTGGAAGAATCAATAGTGTTAAAATGTCCATACTGCCCAAAGTAATTTACAAATCCAATGCAATTCCTATCAAAATACCAATGTCATTTTTCACAGAATTAGAAAAAAAACCCTAAAATTTACAAGGAACAACAACAAAAAAGCACAAATAGCCAAAACAATCCTAAGCAAAAAGAACAAATCTTTATGCATTACATTACCTATTTTCAAATTATGCTACAAGTCAACAGAAACCAAAACAGTATGGTATTGGCATAAAAATGGAAACATAAACTAATGGGACAAAATAGAGAACCCAGAAATAAAGCCATGTACCTCTACCCACTGATCTTCAATAAAGCCAAAATAAACATAAACTGGGGAAACACCACCATAATAAATAAATGGTAGTGGGAAAACTGGATAGCCTCATGCAGAAGAATAAAATTGGATCCCTATCTCTTACCATTTACAAAAATTAATTCAAGATGTATTAAAGATGTAGATGTGAGACCTGAAACCATAAAAATATTAGAAGAAAACCTCGGAAAGTTATTCTGGACAACAGCCTAGGTAAAGAATTTATGACTAAGACCTCAAAGCAAATACCAAAAAACCAAAAATAAATAAATGGGACTTAATTAAACTAAAAATCTCTGCACAGCAAAATAAAAAATCGATAGAGTCAAAAGATAATCTACAGAATGCAAGAAAATATTCACTGGATATATATCTGATTAAGGCCTAATATCCAGAATCTATAAGGAACTCAAACAAATCAGCAAGGAAAATAAAACAAAACAAACAAATAACCCCATTACAAAACAGGTAAAAGACATTAACAGATAACAGGCATTTTTCAAATGAAGAGAAACAAATGGCCAACTCAACATATGAAAAAATGCTCAACATTACTAATCAGCAGAGAAATGCAAATTAAAGCAGCAATGAGATATCATCTTACCCCTGTCAAAATAGCCATTATTGAAAAGTCAAAAAAACAATAAATGCTGGCACAGATGTGGTGAAAAGGGAACTTATATGCCATTGGTGGCAATGTAAATTAGTATAACCTCTATGGAAAACAGTATAGAGATTTCTCAAAGAACTAAAAGTAGAACTGTCATTTAATCCAGAAATCCCACTACTGGGGATCTACCCAGAAGAAAAGAGGATATTTTATATAAAAACAGACACCTGTACCTATTATGTTTATCACAGCACAATTCACAATTACAAAGATATGGAACCTAAGAGCCCACAAACTGATGAAACAAAAAAGAAAATTATATATATATATATATATATGTATATATA